GTTCAAGCTGAGTCTGCTACAAAGGTGGACCCAGATCAGTTCACTAATTTTGTGGTAAGAGCGTTATTCTTATACTGACCTTCAGGGAAAATGGAGATTTTTTTTTTGTCTCATTTAATGGATTTCAATACTTGGCTGGTATCTTGTTCCCCATTTTTGTTGGGATGAAGAATCTTCAAGGTTCATATTTCTTTCTTATTTATATATTTATCATATGCTTTGTTTTTGGTCCATGCTGTTGGCACACAGATTCCTAGCTGGCTTGGAGGAGAGTCCACTGGGTCTACAAAAGACAATCCATTCACGCTACCAGATGCTTATATCGCATCTCAGCATAAAAATGTATATTACGTATCAATTGACTAATATATTATTGGATTTCTAAATTTTATAGCAATTAACTGTAAAAGGCTTATTTTAAGTGACATGTGTTCATTTGAATGAAATTGTCTATTTTCTGCAGCACAAAAATTTTGGGGAGATAAGGCAACTCATACGAGAAGCATCTTTAGAAGAAAGTCGCAAACGGGAATTGTCATCTGCACTCCATGTGTACTTCAAGGACTGGTTATATGGTAACTGTCTGTCTTTTTTATTATTGCGTTTTATTCCAACACATGTGACTTCTACCGTTGCAATGAACTCTGTCTTCTCATTTAAGCCTTTTTATGTATGTCCTCGATGTTGAAACTTGGACTAGTTAGACCAAGCTTATGATTTCTCTGGTAAATGTTTTATGGTGATTTCGCTTATACGTTTTATTGTGGAACCTTCTACAAATGACCACTGGATTAAATAGTGAGTTTCATTCAATAGTCACGCAACAATCAATATTACTGCAATTAGTGTCTTCCTGTGCATTGGACGAAACACAATTCAACGGCCCTATAGATGATGATGATGATGATCTCTGAATATTTTTAACGAAGCAACTCTGGAATCTTATATTCAATTATTCACGGTCAATGTTCCATTAAGTAGCATTGCTAACGGATTTGATTTTTCTCTTTCTGAAGGATCACCTGCATCCATCTGCTACGTTCCATGATTTAATGATTTAAGCATACATGCATTCGTGTTTATAAGATAACATGGGTTTCAGATATTTTATACATAATATTTTCTCAAAGCTAGTTAATGATAAGAAATTGTAGGAACTCAGAATATTTTAAGACTGAAAAATACTTACACTTTTATTCATATTGGCAATCTTCAAATACAAGAAAAACATAACTACAAATTAATAATAATTCCACCTATTAATCTGAAAATAAATAAAAAATAAAATTACACATAAAAAGTTTTTAATAGTCTATTAATACTTATAATTAAAATTTATAACAATAGAAATTCTAATAATGTTCTAATAAGTTGTAATAAAATCTAATAAACTTTAATAATAAATATTGATTCAAATTTTCAATATTATTACTTGTCTCAGGATATATTGATTCCAATTTTTTCTCTGATGTTCTGGGACCGTGCTTTTGGAAGTGATATGGTAAAGATGTTCGTCTTGCAATAGTCTAAAAATACTTGAACTCTTTTTTGAACTTCTCTAAGAAAATATAGCTTGATATTGAAGTGTTTTAGTCTTTTCATAAAAATGTTAATTGCTAGAAATTGTAATAGTTGTTTGATTATGTGTAAGTACCTTAGTTGAATCTGTTTGAACTACTTGTTGATCGGCCAGAATCTAATGGAGGAGATAAATGTTTATGCTTTTAAGTAATCCAAACTTAGTTTTATCCAAAGACAATTGATGGGAGAATTTTAGTACAGAGCTGACTGCTCGAAATTCTAATTATTTTCAAGAGGAAGCTACGCAGATAATGCTAATAATTTTGTTTTCTGTTGTGGCAGCTTCTGGAAACATTCGTCAGCTTTATTGTCTACAAGGCGATTGATCTTTGTGAGACAGTGCAATGACACAATTAATGATGGTACAGAAACGAGGTTTCTGGCTTCCTTTTTGAACTTCCTCTTCAATTCCTCTTGCCAATTCTATTGGCCGCATAGGTAGCTGATATCGGATGACGTGAATTATAGTGCCCAACTATTTATGCCGAGACATCAGGGGTACACAGAATCGAACGAAGAATACAGTAGCTAATCTGATTGTAATATTTTTTGTTTGTGAAAATAATTACTGTAATATTTTGTTAGCCTAAATTAATGGCTTTTGTGAAAAATTCCAGCCGCCAACATCTAGTGTACTACATTGCATGTCTTCCTACTTCGAGTTGTTCTAGTTAATCAAACATCCCGTGAATTTCTGTCGGGTGCTCACGCATTGTGAATTTAATGTGTAACATCAACCTGTCTCATTTACAATCAATAGCAATGATGGATTTGAGAGTCGTGGGCTGATTAGGTGGTTAAAGACCTGTGCATCAGTTGGTGTCCTGTCCTGTTGTAGAACTGTAGTGGCTAATAATAATAAAACTCCAGGACAATAAGACCTAACTAACTCTCCATTTCCGAAGCTGTTTGTCTTCACCAGTATTTTGGTTTAAGGGAGATTAAGATTGCGTAATAATGAGATGGAAGTGACAGCATGGTAGGCGTTGGTGTATGATGTCCAAGTGTTATTCACGCTATCACTTCATCGCGTGATTGTAATTTAACTCTACAATGTCTCGATAGCCTAGTGAATAGTTGGATTGAACCAGAAAAGCACATATGCACTTCACATTTAATTTTAAATCAAGTTGTGCTCTTTTACCCAGTGATTATTTTATGATTAGTGAAATGGCGAAGAAGAGATAAAATAATGGGTTGCAATTGAATAAAATTATCACTCCATTGTTCTCTCATATTTTGAATAATCTAAACGATGGTCACACACAAAAATATATAATAATAGAATGTATTATTCTATTCGTTCTAATCCGATTTGTACTTTTCAATTCTGTCAATAAACGTAATCCCAGTCAAACTGCACTTCGAACTTCGAAGGAAAAAATCATAATTATAACCAGAAATTGAGAAATGAATAATATTATATTATTATGAGATTCAATTTTTATAATTTTACATTGAATAACTCACTTTGTGGAGTGAAAATTCAAATGCGTTAACAAAATCATTTAATTAGTTAAATATTGCAAATTAATTGTTTTAAAAGTTAAAGTAATTAGAACAATATAAGTATAAAAAAGATTAGAATAATGTATGATAGAGTTGTACGACTCAATTTTCATTATAAAATCTGTTATGAAACACAGATAAAGCAATCGGAATCAGACTATGCGAATCACAGTGCACCTTCTTACAATACAAGAAGGAAGGCAGAAAATAAAGAAGGTATCTTCAAAGGAAAACTAAAGCAGTAGAGTAAGTAGAGATGAAGGCAATCTAGCGGGTTGTCATAGTGACGTATATTGGAAACAACTGGTATCTTTAGCATCGTAAATGAGTACACACCTTGCTTAATGGAACATACTACCCCATCTTGGCCCTTATATCCAATCCATCTCAACTCTTCCATCATTAACTTCAATTTTGCTTGTTAGCTCCACTATTCTAATCACGCGTGCCTTATTTATGTTATGCTACACGCATCATGTGTGGGGAAGAACAAAATAAGCGAAGACTTACTGAAATTTTTACTCGGATTGTCACCATACCAGCTTTTGCCCACATTCTCCACACCTTGGACCCAACAGAATCAAATGTTTCTAAAGAATAATTGTTCAGTTCTTACGCTAAAAAATGCGTTTACTTCTTAAACTAAGGCCGAGAATTACAAAACCTGGTTTTACAGTTTGATGGACAGATGTTATCCATGCTACATTTAAGAAACCAGCTTCCTCTAACTTATTTTCTGCTGCTGCAGACCTTGAAAGTATATATATAGGAATTTCATGCATCTTTTGTCCTTACGTGCAAGACATCTAGAAGTCCTTGAGGTGATGCCTAACATAATTTGCTAATGTCAAACTCCTAATATTCTCAAAGATTTATGCAGAACACTGTTGGTTCAGAAGTGATTTAGGAGCTCAATTCACTCTTCACAAAAGTCATTGACAGTGGCTATGAGTAGATAATCTTTCCAATAGGTACTAAATTAAAACAATTGCACATTTAAACTTCTATACATTTCTTCATTTTCAAAAGTTGAGGTATATATTTTAATTTAATTTATGAAAAAAACATTTTTTTAATTATATCTTTCTTAAGTATTAGAAATCTGTCTAAATATGCTAGGATTAGAAAAGTCAGACTCACATAATGCTTTCCTTGTTAGTAAATTATTCACGTAAACTGTGTCAAGTCTCAGAAGCAGAATGTGTTCTTTTTCATTTGAACACAATGTTGGTAATGAAATTCAAATCTCAGGCAAACTACCCAAGGTTCTCATCACTAGACAGATCCGAGTGGCTTGAATATGAAAATTTACATCACAATGAGGCCAAAATTAGCATGCAGTTTATTACATACTTAAACTCAACTCCCTTCCATTCCTTTCTCATTCTAAACTAAACTCTTGAAACTTTATGGATATAATCTTTTCTCTGGCTATATTCTATCTCCCATTTTAATGAAGTTAACATGAAATTCTCATACATGGAATGCTTTTAAAATCTTTGATGATGATGGAGTATAAGCTTTTTGGTATAAGTAGTCACAGAGGTGAGACCTAGGCAGTATGAAACTACAATTATTGATGCAAAACAACATTGAAGTATGGAAATCATTCATATATAGGCTTGATCTTATTTCATAAAATATATTTGATAAGCTGATATAAAGACTGTCTTAGTTGGTCTGCAATGTCATAAAAAAGGTTGAAGAAAAACCAACCAACTTAAAAGTTTGGTGAAAGTTGGAAATTTCCCCAAGAAAGAATAAGGACAGGGTAGATTGCAAGGCATGCCATTAAACCTTTCCCTTCAAGTGCATTTTTTTTCATATATTTATTTTCATATATATACAGATTTTCCAAATTTTCAGCCTCATCCCTTTTCACACCCTCTACTGCATTCAAAAATCAGAAAATGGGTCCCCCAAGCAACCTCCTATCTCTTTTAGTTGCTCTGGCCGCAGTTTTTGCATCTTTGTATCTCATAAATCCAATTCCACAGTTTCTCAACAACTTCACCTATTTCACCCTCACAGCCTTGTCACCTGCATCTGCATACTTGGCGAAACCTTTAACATGGAACTTCCACAGACATCACAAGAAGTACCCTGATAATGGGAATACCGATTCTATTTGTGATGATTTTCCACCAGGAACTCCACCTCCAGATACCAATACCACTTCGTATCTTTGTGTTGATCGAAAAGGGTGTTGTAATTTCACAACAGTACAAGCAGCCGTGAATGCAGTTCCAAATTTGAGTGTCCAAAGAACCATAATATGGATAAACAGTGGCATGTACTAGTAAGTTGGTCCTCATCTTCATCAAACAAACCTCCTTTTAAGCTTTCCTTTTCATTGAACTTGAATCACTCCACACATGTTGGAAACTTTTTTCAGGACAAACTTACCATATATCTCGTTTTGTAATTATATGACAGTAGAACATAGACTATTTCCTTGAGAATAATTATTTTTAAGATAACCTTAACTTCAATCACATGATGTCATTTATTGGACAGTGAGAAGGTTATTGTGCCCAAAACCAAACCCAACATTACATTTCAAGGACAAGGCTATACTTCAACTGCAATTGCATGGAATGACACCGCATTATCCGCGAATGGAACATTTTATAGTGCTTCTGTACAAGTTTTTGCCTCCAATTTCATTGCTAAGAACATAAGCTTCATGGTGAATATTTTTTACTTGTACGTCTAGCAGAAGGGAAATATAAAGAACATGTTACAATAATGACACTGACACCAGAAACTTTGTACTTGAAATAGAATCTAGCACCAATGCCAAGTCCTGGGGCAGTAGGGGCACAAGCAGTAGCTATTAGAGTATCGGGAGATCAATCTGAATTTAGGGGTTGTGGATTCTTTGGAGCACAAGACACCCTTCACGACGATAAGGGTCGCCATTACTTCAAAGATTGCTATATTCAAGGCTCCATTGACTTCATATTCGGCAATGCAAGGTCACTCTACGAGGTAGGGTATCTTTATCTCAACTAATACTCTTCTCATTACAAATTACAGCATAGTATTTCAATCTACACAAAGTGATAAAACGATGGCCAAAATGGAACTGATGCTATACGTGTACAGAATTGTCAAATAGTTTCTATAGCGAACCCCGTACCAGTGGGACAAAAGAGCATAAATGGCGCTGTTACAGCTCATGGTCGAGTTTCAGGTGATGAAAATACAGGGTTTGCATTTGTGAACAGTACAATTGGTGGAAATGGTAGAATATGGTTGGGTCGAGCATGGAGACCTTATTCTCGTGTTGTCTTTGCCTTCACATTAATGTCAGATATTATTGCCCCTGAAGGTTGGAATGATTTCAACGACCCTTCAAGAGACCAGTGAGTGTGTCCTAACAATACAAAGATCTTTGAAACATGTTGCATTTTCTGAATAACATGTTCTTAATCAAGATTTTTGGTTTATCCTATTATTGCATATGCTGAACTATTGCTTGTTATATGATCAAACAAGAAAGAATCTACCTTTGCTGTGTATGAAAATATTAATTGCTAACTATCCATATTTATTATTTACCACATGCTTCCATGCAGGACTATCTTCTATGGAGAATATAATTGCTCAGGGCCAGGGGCTAATACCAACTTGAGGGCACCTTATGTACAGAAATTAAATGATACACAAGTTTTGGCTTTCATCAACACTACCTTTATTGATGGTGACCAATGGTTGGAAACTTCCAAATAACCTCATTTCCCTGGCCAATCCCTACTGATATTTCTTTTTCCATTCATATATACAAATGTGAAACAAGTACACACGTTACACAAAAGGCAACAAAATAGATTAGACATAATTCATTAAATTGTGTATAAATTCATCATCATTGTATAAGCTATTTGATCAAGAAGACTACTGGTGTTATAATGTCAAAGTTAAGCTAACCATCTCTACAATTTCATCTAAGGTAGTTTATCACATATATTTTAAACTCAAATTGAATATATAAGATTTTTGTTACCGATTCACCATCTCATATAACCTCATTCGAGTAATTGCAAACACATGTATTAATTTTATAATTTAATACTAAAATATATACTATAAAATGATTCATTTTATCTTAATTTTTCTCCTTAATTGTTATAATTTTATATTAAAGAGAGTCAAAATTCAAAAGCATTAACAAAGTCATTCAACATATTTCAAATTACATATTTCAAAAGTTGGAGTATGAGGAATATTTTAGGTAATTACTTGTCCATATTTATTATCTTTAACAGGATGGGAAAGAATGGGTGAGAAAGTGAATGAAAAAATAAATTTCCTTTAAAATATATTATTTAATTAAATAATTTACTTGTCCAAATCCTATTAAAATAGTTTAAATTAAATTTAGTTAGTCTAAATTAATTAGTTGGATTTGTATAATTTGTTTATCAAATTCGTATCCAATCAAACTTTAAGGATTGGGTTGGACAGATTAACAGTTATTAAAAATTAAAAAATTTATAATTTTAAATATATATTTTTTACCAGATTATTTTAATACAACTTTTAAACTACATGTATTTTGATAAAATAATGTATATATATAAATGAAATCAAATCTTAAATTAGAAATAATGCAAAGGTGAAAAAAAAATTCTTTATCATACCTCTAAGTTCTAACATTCAATTTGTAAACATTGTTCATCAATAACGAGTTCTCACAAATAAAAAGAAATGTTTTCTATCATAAAAAGGAAAAATTATAGAGAAAGTTAAGTTTATAATAAATTTATTATGTAAAAAGTAGATAAATTTCTTCACGAACATAAAAAGAGGATTTGCAAAAAATAGTTTAAAAATTTATAAATGAATTATCCATTAAGGAATATTTGAAAATGATATTTAATGTATGCAATTATTATTTTTTATAAAATATATATAAATAATAAATTAAAATTTAAAATATAAACAAGTAAATTAAAATTAAAATACATACAAATTAAATTTTATAAGATAAGAATTTAAGATTTAGATATTAGGAATATCAAATTCAATAAACCGATCCAAAATATTTGAAAAATATGTTACTGACTCGACCTATCTAAATTATAGTTTATATAAATTTAGACCAAATTAACCCTTAAATAGATGAATAAAATAATAATTATTTTTTAAATAAAAATAAAAATAAAAAATTATTTTATTAAATATATATATATATATATATGTTATAAATTAAATTGATTATATTTATTTATTTTAAAAATAAATAATAAAACAAATCAATTTAACAATTAAAATTAATTATTATTTTAAATTAATAAATTACTAAAAATAATTAATAATAATATATAATAAACTTTTAATTCTTATTTTAAGATTTAATAAATATATTCTCTTAATATATTAAATCATTATATATTAAAAAAATTAATTTCATTAATAAAAATTAAAATTTTTAAAATATATTTTTATTTTTATTTAAATATTTTTTAATTAATTAATTTTATATAAATATATTAATTTTTTTTAATTTAATCAAGTCATGTTAGTCAGTGAAACTAAAATTTTTGATCTATTTTAAAATAGTTCAAATTAAACAATCAATTTTTTTTTACTTATTCCCTACCAAGTTGCACCATCCGTTCTGGACCTGGTTTTCTCCTTCAATTGCCCTTGTGATTTTCCAATTTTCAATTCAATCCGCCTCTCTCACATTGGATTGGTATTGAACGTGACCCAAATGAAATTCAAACAAATTTAAGACTCTCCTAAACAACTTCTACTCTAACTCTCAACTCTCGGTTACACAATCTTTTACACAAGATGATATAAGTAATCTCAGTAAGTTGTAATTGCTGAGTCAGCAATAGTTAGTTAGGCAGTTATATCTGCTGGGGTAATTAGCTATTAATAATAATTAGTCTGTAATAAAGAAAAAAAAAAGGAAAAAAACATAGTCTTCCGTCAATTGTATCTTCTCTATTATTCCTTCTCTTCAGTTCAATAATACATCGGAATCTTTCAATTCTTGGGTTCCCTTTTCATATTCCAGTTCTTCGAAGAATTATCTTCCTAGTTCTAGAAAGAATCATAACAATTGGTATCAGAGCTTGTTCGATCCATTTCGGAGTTCTCCATGGCAGAAGCGACAAGAAATGCTCAAGCTCTTAAAGATATGGAGGAGCGTTTATCCGTTCGGTTCGATAATCGATTGACTGAGTTTGCAGGGACAACACAGCGATCTCTGGACGAATCTTTGAAGAAAACTATGGACGACCTCTTACTACAACGATCACAAGGCTCTCCAGGGGTAAACCGTCGGGACGGTCGCAATGCTCGGTTTGTATTCTTGTGGTACTCGTCTTGCTCGCATTGATTTTCCACGATTTTATGGTGAAAATGTGAATCGGTGGGTGTACCAGGTGTAATAATTTCTTCTTGATCGACAACACACCTGACCCCATTCGTGTTCAATTAGCAATAATTCATTTAGAGGGTCGTGCTCTTCAATGGCACACGACTTTATCTAAAACTGTCAATTGTTCTTCTATGTGTTGGGCGGATTATGCACAATTGGTAATTGCAAGATTTGGAGATGTTTGTGATGACCCCATGGCTGAATTGATGAAGTCGAGGCGTAAATCGTCAGTTGTTAAATATCATGAGGAATTTGACTCTATTATCACTCGTTTATCGTTGTCCGAAAATTACACATTAAGTTGTTTTTTAGGCGGGTTGAAACAAGATATTCAAATGTTGGTAAGAATGTTTAATCCCACTTCGGTTCGAAGAGCCTTCCAATTAGCTCGAATGTATGAAGCCGCCAACGCCCTACCAGGCTTGAGCATTGCTAAGAATGTTCCCGGATCTTTTAACCATGCGGTGGTAGCCAAGAATCGAAAGGACTGTTGGGGGTCAAACCTATGGTTGTTCCTAAAACTATCTCTAATACAAGCTCTCGGAAGGAATCGTGAATTCGAAGTTCAAGATTGGTAAAACCTTAACTCCGAGCATTTATGAGTGAAAGAAGAGCCGGTGGATTGTGTTTTTTACGTGATGAACCATACTCCCAGGAGCATAGCTTAACTCACAAGAAGTTGCAGGTGCATGTGCTAGAAGTGCTTGAGGACAAGGAAACTATTGAGGAGCCGAGTGTGGGCGATGAGATTTCGGTGGGGGATGATTTGCAAATTTCGGTCCATGCATTATCGGGTATAGCTAATTTCAAAACCATGCGTGTTACGGGTCATTATCAAAAGAATCCTGTTCATATTCTAATTGATAGTGGTAGTACTCATAACTTCTTAGATATTGGATTTGCTAAACGATATGGTTGCAAAATAGAGAATTTGGATCCAATTACTGCTATCTGTGGCGGATGGGTACAAGCTTCCTATTTCCTCTATAGTCGGGAATTTTACATGGAGGTTGCAAAATACTATTTTTACTTCGGATATAATGCTTATTCCTTTGGGTGGTCATGATTTGGTGTTGGGCATTGAATGGTTGGTCACTTTGGGTGATATTGTGTGGAATTTTGATAAGTTGCAGATGGAATTCAAAACCAATGGCAAAAGACTTATTCTTAGAGGTTCTGCTCCGGGGGAATAAAAACTATACGGAAACAACGGAGTTGGGAGAGTTTTAGATGAGGGAGTCCATTTATCCATGATACATACTGTGTGAAGGGGGAGAAGGATTGTTGCAATCCCTTACTACTCATGCCAATCAACATCGGCTATCTCCTAGGGTTGTTGATCTTTTGATCGAATTTGATGATGTATTTCAAGAACCTAAGTCTCTGCCTCCTTTCGGACTCGAACATGATCACAAGATTCCACTTGTGCAAGGCGCAAATCCTGTTAATAAGAGACCCTACGAGATATGCTAAGCATCGAAGGATGAAATAGATAAATTGGTACAGGAATATTTGAGTAAAGGTGTAATTCGGAACAGCTTGTAGCCCCTATGCAAGTCCTGTGGTGTTGGTTGGGAAGAAGGATGGTTCATGGAGGCTCGTGTGTGGATTATAGGGAGCTGAACAAAAACACTGTGAAAAATAAATTTCCCATTCCTTTGGTGGATGACCTTTTAGATGAACTCCATGGATCTACAATTTTTTCTAAAATAGATTTGAGGTCTGGGTATAATCAGGTGAGAATGGCTCCTGATGATGTTCCAAAAACTGCTTTTAGGACACATTCTGGTCACTTTGAATATGTGGTGATGCCCTTTGGTTTATCAAATGCACCGGCCACCTTTCAAGGCCTCATGAATTCTGTGTTTCAATCTTTTTTGAGGAGGTTTTTGTTAGTTTTCTTTGATGATATATTGATATATAGCAGTGATTTGGAGAGTCATGTGAGTCACTTAAGGCAAGTACTATTGACTCTTAGGAGCAATAGTTTATTTGCTAGGAGATCTAAATGTTTTTTCACTGTTAAAAAGGTTGAATACCTTGGTCATTTTATTTCTACTGAAGGGGTCTCTACTGATCCGGCCAAGGTGGAAGCTATAAAAAACTGGACATTGCCTCAGAATCTCAAGCAATTAAGAGGTTTTTTAGGGTTGGCAGGTTATTACAGGAGGTTTGTGAAGAGGTTTGGAGTGGTGGCTAAGCCCTTGACTGAAATGCTTAAGAAGGATGGGTTTGTATGGAGTGATCATGCGAAAGAGGCTTTTCAGCAAATCAAGAACCTTCTCTGTAGTGCACCAGTTCTGGCATTACCAGATTTTTCTAAAGAATTCATAGTAAAGGTTGATGCTTCAGGTTATGGAATAGGAGCAGTCCTCATGCAGGAACACCATCCTATTGCTTATATTAGTAGAGCTTTGAATAATCAGCAGCAAACATTATCTACTTATGAGAAGGAGTTATTGGCAGTAGTGTTTGCAGTCCAGAAGTGGAGACACTATCTTCTCAATAGGCATTTCACGGTAAAAACTGATCACTACAGCTTGAAGTATTTGCTGGATCAAAGGCTCACCACTGTGTTTCAACAAAAGTGGTTAGCAAAGCTCATGGAGTTTGACTTTTCCATAGAATACAGGCAGGGGCATGAGAATGTGGTGGCGGATGCATTGTCAAGGGTTGAGGAGTTAAAGTGTCATAGTTTGAGTACTTATGAATTACAATCTGATTTGGGTGATAAGATCAAGGCTACTTGGTTAACTGATGTGAATTTGAAGAAGTTAATCAAGGAAATTCAAGATGGCTCGGCTGTACATAAACACTATACATGGCATAATAACGAACTAAGGAGGAAGGGAAGATTAGTGGTTGGAAATGATAGTAAGTTGAGAGAAGAATTACTGCAGTGGTTGCATTCTTCAGGGGCTAGTGGTCATTCGGGCATTAATGCAACAATGCAAAGAATCAAAACTATGCTACATTGGAAGGGTTTAACTACTGATGTAAAAAGGTTTGTACTGCAATGTCATGTATGTCAAAAAAATAAGTATTCGACGGTGGCAAGTCCAGGATTGTTGCAACCATTGCCAGTTCCTGATCAAGTTTGGCAGCAGGTGACTATGGATTTTATTGAGGGTTTACCTATGTCTTTTGGGAAGCAAGTCATTCTAGTAGTAGTGGACAGATTGAGTAAAGCAGCCCACTTCATGGCTCTTTCTCACCCTTATACAGCAAGGGATGTAGCACAGGTTTTCTTGGATCAAGTTTTTAAGCTGCATGGTTTTCCAGGCACAATCACTAGTGACCGGGACCCTGTCTTTATCAGTACATTCTGGCGGGATTTGATGGCTTTCCAGGGAGTTCATGTTCAACTTTCATCTAGCTATCACCCTCAAACGGATGGCCAATCGGAAGTGGTAAATAGGTGTCTTGAAACATATTTGAGGTGTATGTGTTGTGACGCACCTCAGCAGTGGAGCAAATGGCTGCCCATGGCAGAGTGGTGGTATAATACCACCTATCACACTGCCACCAAGGCTACCCCATATGAGATTGTTTACAGCCAACCTCCTCCCATACATCTCCCTTATCTGCTTGGTCAGTCCAAGATTGAGCTAGTAGATAGAAGTTTGTTTAAGAGAGAAGAGATGTTGAAGATGTTGAAGTTCCACCTCAGAAGAGCCCAGGAAAGAATGAAACAACAAGCCGATAAACACAGGACTGACCGGGAGTATCAGATTGGTTATATGGTATATGTTAAGCTTCATCCTTATCGGCAAATCTCGGTGGCGCAGAGGAGCAATATGAAGCTGAGTCCTAAGTATTTTGGGCCCTATCGAATTATTGATAAAATTGGAGTTGTGGCTTACAAGCTTGAACTGCCAGAACAGTCCAAAGTTCATGATGTTTTCCACGTTTCACAACTTAAGATGCATGTGGGAAGGGTCCCAGTTTCAAGTGTGCTGCCATATCAGTCAGAAGATGTTTTGGTAGACAAGGAACCGGAAGCTATCCTAGATAGGATGACAGTTCGAAGGAAGGGAGTAGCAGCGACCAAGGTTTTGGTTAAATGGAAGCATCAATTGGAAGAGGATGCTACTTGGGAGTTTTACTATGATTTGAAGAAGAAATTTCCATATTTTCATCCTTGAGGGCAAGGATGCTGTAAGGGGAGGGTATTGATTGTATTGATATAAGTAATCTCAGTAAGTTGTAATTGCTGAGTCAGCAATAGTTAGTTAGGCAGTTATAACTGCTGGGGTAATTAGCTATTAATAATAATTAGTCTGTAATAAAAAAAAAAAAAGGAAAAAAACAGAGTCTTCCGTCAATTGTATCTTCTCTCTTATTCCTTCTCTTCAGTTCAATAATACATCGGAATCTTTCAATTCTTGGGTTCCCTTTTCATATTCCAGTTCTTCGAAGAATTATCTTCCTAGTTCTAGAAAGAATCATAACACAAGAAGCACAGATCTACATCATATCATAAGCATCAGAACCAGACTATGGTGCACCTTTCTTTTATACAAGAAGGAAACCAGAAAAGAAAAGAGAAAAAAAGAAAACTATCTTCAAAGGAAAACTACAGCAGCAGTGTAAATTCAAAATAACTGGTATCTTCAACATTCCAAATGGGTATCCTCCTTTCTTAATGGAGAATAGTAAACAATTTGATTACTTGACCATTATAGCCATACTCACATTACTAACTTTTCCATCATTTTAGTCATATTTCATCTTTTTTTTGTTCCTGAATTCTAATCAAACGTTATCTAATTACTCTACATGTAGAAAGACTATAATGGAATTTTTAGGCTTATCCTGTAGGGGCCAATTGGAATAGCTTCTCTGCTTGCTCAGGGAAGAATGTAATGAATAAATATGCACCTGAAAGTTTTCATTTAAATATATCAATACCAGCATAAAAAATAGTAATATAAAGATGCTAATAAAAAGAGAAAAAAAAAAAAAAACTTACAAACAAGAATAGTTCCCAACACAGTTGAGATTTTTCCTTGGATTGTCACCAAACCAGCTTTGCCTGCATTCTCCAACTGTGTGGACCCAATAGAATCAAATGTCCCTACAGAATAGAAATAGTTTAATTGATTATCCTAAAGATAAGTTAACTTCTAAATATAAGTCAAATAATTACTAAACCTGGTTTTACAGTTTGAAGGCCAGATGTTATGCATGCTATATTTTGGAAACCAGCTTTTTCTAACGTATTTGCTGCTGCAGCAGACCTTGACAAAGAAGAAAGAAAATCTCAAATTCTTACATTAGGCTATTAAAAACTCAATGCAAGTAGTAGAGTGTAACTTCTATCCAATTTATAGGAATTTGATGTATCTTTTTGTCCTCACATGCAAGACATAGACATCAAGAAGCCCTTGAGGCCACGACTAACATAATTTGCTAAAACAACTCCGAACATTCTTAAAGATTTATGCAGGTTGGTTTAGAAGCGATTTAGCAAATTAATTCACTCTTATTATCAGAAGTCATGGACAGTACATGCTAAGAATCCCCTAACACACAATGCTTGTCCTTGTTCGTAAACTATTATTGTAACTTTGTCTAGTCTCATGCAAAATATGGTTCTTTTTATTTTATTTTTTTCCTTGTTTTGGGTACGATTTTTGGCATTGAGATTTGAACCCCTTGAAAACTACCCAAGGCCCTCGCCAGTAGCCCAATCCTAGTGGATTGAAAATTTAAATCAGACTCTAAAATTGACAATCATATTATTTCATAATTATAATAAAACTCACTTCTGTTGAAAGGTCAATATCAGCATATACCTTCAGTGCAACTCTCCTTTTCATTTTAAACTCTAAAATCTCATGCATATAATATTTTCTGTGGCATAATTCTCTCTACTATTTTAGAGAAGTTGACATAAATCTTGGATGATGGACTATCAGCTTCTTTTAGAAGTAGTTACAGAGAGGCCAGACCTTGCATGTTTGACACTGAAAGCATTTATGCAGAACGTTGAAGTATGGAACTCATTCATATATTGGGAATGGCCTTGGTCTTATTCCATAAAATATATTTGACTATTATGAGATAAAGGTTGCCTTAGTTGGCTACAATGTCATCAAAAGGTTGAAGAAAAACAGGCAATGAAACTACAAGCATGACTACGAATTTCTTAGATTGTCCTGGAATGGAGCAGTTCTGGAAAATCTTGTATCTCTCTCCCCACAATCCAAACAAAACACAAATACTTTGTAGTGTGTGGCTTTAGAGATGGGTTATAATATGTAGCTGCATAAGCTTATAGAATAAATTATTGTACAGTTCCCTGGCTAACATAACTGAGAAGCTTAACACAAGGATATCATAAAAAGATTATATATTTTTTACATATAGATAAAGCTACATCAGACTAAACTTCCTTTCCCCATTATTTAATAGGAATGTTTTACATCATAAAAGCCATGCAGCATAATTGGGGTTCATAGATGTAATTACATGCAAAAGTTGTTCTTTTATTATTCAAGACACGGGAACCTTCATCTTCCTTTTTACAGAAAGAAGTACACCTCAGATCAAGATTTTGTTCAAATAAACTATTCATCCAATTCAACTTGAGATCTAATCAGCATTCCATGCTGGCACTGCTAGAAGTAGTTAAGGTGGTTCTCTCTGTCAAAAAACCAGATCATCCTAAAACTTGAGCTATTCGACCAAAGCCAACAAAGAAATTATATACCAACAGTTTCAACGAGCTTTTATTTAAAAAACTAGAGTGCCAACAAAATACACTCTCTAATTCATGAAATTAGCACTTCTTCTAAGCTCATACCCTCATACAACATCACTTGCGTCTCTACTTTTACTGTTAAGTGACCAATTAGCCTTGAATAATCAAACCAAAGCTACATCTCCTCCTGGTTCATTTTCATCTAACATTTAGATTTTAGAAGCAACGTAATTATTACATTACACAATCATATCCTGAGTATGTAATTTTGGAAGCCAATCATACATAAGGAAAAACAAACATACGAGTTGGGGTCTCTGTATTCTAAGAAGGTGAAGTTAAGGGCTTAAACATGTCAATGCAAGTTTCCTGTCAACATGACCAGATGGTGTAAATAATTATAGCAGTGGAATTGGGTAGGAAATCATAAACGAACCTCAGTCCTTCCTGGCATACAACCAAGAGTTTACTTTCAGGTGGAAACTGGCTCTTAACAGATTGTATAAAATCAGGATTTGGTTTAGTGAATGGTAACCCAAAGAACAACCCAGAAAAATTATTGTGCAGCTGCCTTTTTATAATAGTACCTACAGAAAACCAACGTGACAGAATAACAAAATTGAAGCAGAACAAAATGCCCACATAAATTTTTTAGGGAGGAGAAACTCCATACCGGGATCATTGTCCTTGTTTTCAACAAAAAGAGGCACATGACTACAAGATTTGATGTGAGCTCGCTCAAATTGAGTTTTGTCCCTCACATCAAGAACAGCGTATCCATCCACTTCCACAAGTTCCTTCCCCTTATCAGCGTTCACATACTTCACTTCTGCTTTTATTGCCAATCTTCTCATTCCAGTTCCAGGTAGTTTCCCTGGCACGGCCCTTGCATTGTGAGTTTTTAATACCAACCAACATGTCCCTAAGTTGCTGAAAAAACAACCTTAATCCCTCACAACCATGTCCACATAGATTTTTAAACATTAACAGAAATTTCCTTCACCACTGTTTTCACCAACATGGGTAATTTGTAAAGCAAAATATAAAATTTTACATGCTGAGAATCTAGGAAAGAAAACCCCAAGATAAAATGAAGTTACTTGTTTGTGGATTTGATATGCTATGACTATAATCCATTTGACAATGATAAACAAAAATAGAACTTAAGTTGAGTAAGTTACCTGGAAGAGGAAAGACAGGAGGTGTATAAACCAGTTCCTGCCATTGTATGAAAATTGTCTGTCACTCATATCCATCCGCTGATCTTGTCTTCCAAAGCTGAACTCACTCAAGCCACCTGTTAAATTCAGTGGGCCATGAAATTTGAAATCAGCAATGATTTACTGCCACGTGTCAAATATCTATGATCTGAGATACATGTGTTTCTCTAATCTCAAAGCCTTGAAGATTCTACAACCTCGGGGCTACCTTGCTCGTGCTGGCTAATAGTGATGATAGCTTTTTTTAGCTCGGCAAGTGTGTTAAATTTCTGAAAATATTATTCTGTGTACATCTGGTTTTCAATTTTTTTCTTTTTTTTGAAAAAGTAATTCAGCAAAAGAAATTATATACAGATCATTATATAAATACTATATTAATAAATTAATGAAATATTACTTTAATACTTGTATTACCACTGCTTTTATTAAAATTTAAATTCAACTTATAATTATAATTTTCATGCTTTAACTTCTTTCACAATCTGAATATAAAAATTATATTCAATTCAATTCAGTTGAACCAAATTCAATTCAGTTGAATAAAACTCATGAAATAAAATATTTTTATATATTAATTTACTTTATATATATATATATATATATATATATATATATATATATATATATATATATATATATAAAAACTCGCGAGTTAACTCGCAAGCATCATCAGTTACATGTTAATTGGTGACTAGACTTGGAATGAAACTCAGTAAACTATTTGTAAAGTCGCAAGTTAGAGACAGTGAATTATGTGTAAAGTCGCGAGTTAGAGATAAATCAGCGAGTTTAAAGAAAAAAAAAACTTAAATCTTTTTAGACTCTCCTCATTTCTTCTCACAAATTTAAATCTCATTCATTTTTGCTTATCGTTGATGGTGGTCATCGTTGTGTGTTTGTCTTGGTCGCGCGGTGGTCATGCAACACTTGTTTAGGTCGCACATGTTCACTTGGGTCGTGCATTGGTCGCTCGATGATCGCGCGACATTCACCTGGGTGTCACAGTGGTCTTGCTCCTTGCAGTTGCTCGTCGTTACTCACTGCCCTCTTGGTTAGATTGAGGAATATAAGGATTTGATATTTTAGGATTTTCGAATAGATGAGATATGTTAGATCGAGAGATTGAAAGATTTCAGATTTTAAGATTTCGAATAGATATAAAGATTTTAGACATTCAGACTCTTTTTTTTTTTTTTATTCTATTGTAAAAATTTAATTTTTTATTATTATTTTAATAATTAAGAATTAATATTATTATATTTATTACTAAATTGGTATTTTTTTTATATGAAATAAACTTTTATTAATCTATAATTTGAGTTTACAAGTCAAGTTTAGTGATCTCTCGAGTCTATTTAGACTTTCAAAATATAAAACCTTATATATATAATAATGATTTCTTAATATATGTATATAAATTCAACTAAAAATTACACTTATATTATCATTATACTTATTAAATTTGATATTAACGCCATCTAAGAAAAATAATATAAGTATATTTATTCGAATAATATATTAAAAAAATTAATGGAGAAGTATCATATATAATTTGTAAGAAAACGCAGTGATACAAGAGGAGAAAGAGTACGCAATATATTAATCATCCAACCGTTGACTTTCTTCCTAAATGGAGTGAATGAAACCAAGAAAGAAGATAAACATGGAGAGAGTTTTCAGATTCTCAATACACGAAAACAGTTGAAGAGTTTTTTCCATAGTAGTGGTGTTCCAGATCAGAATTTTGACAGAAAATATCACCCAAAGTATTCCAAAATATATTTTGTTTACACATTTTTAAGATAGCTGTGAAATATAAATTTCATAATATATATAGGGATGATAATTAAACTCATACATGTGGAGATCGACCGTTCCTATTCCGAGTTTAACGGAAAAAATTTGAGTTGATCGAGGACGTGAACGGATTCGGATTTTTTCTTTTTTAAAAAGTCGAGGGTGGGAATGTGTAATGTAATCATATCCCAATCACATCGTCCCCGTCCCAATTTTATATTTAAATTTAAATTTTAAAATATTAATATTTTAAAAATATTTCCTTTTCTATTTCTATTACATATAAGGTCATTTTTTTATATTTCATCATTTTTATTTTTCTTTTACCCACTTTTAAATTTTTTAATCTTTTTTAATCTTTTATATTAATTAATTTATTACATTATTCTCTCTCTTACCTTTTTGTTTTTCACATTTCCTTAATTTCTTCCATCAATTTGTTTTTTTTAATCTTTTCAACCAATTTGATGAACAAAAAGTTATTTTATTTTCTTCTTTATCTTTTTCTAAATATTTTACATAAATCTTAATTATAACTAATATTATTTTATTTATAATTTATATTTATTAGGTTTTATTATGTCATAATTTTTTATCTTATCATATATCAAATTTTATCTTAATAAAATAATTGTATTTTAGAATATTAAAAAGAATTAATAATTTAAACTTTTATTACTTCAAACTAATTAAATAAAAATTAACATATTAATATTTCCTTATAAATTATATATTTTATATTTTTAAATAACAACTTAAAAATGAATTAACTTATATATCTAATCAAATGTTTAAATACAATATAATAATAATAATAATAATAATAATAATAATAATAATAATAATAATAATAATAATGTTATGTGTATTCAAATATAGTGTTATAATAAATATTATATATATATATATAATGATTAAATATTTCTTTTACATACATATTTTAATATAAATATAATAAATTAAAAAAAAATATATATATATATATAATAATGATTATAAATTATAAAATTATAAATATTTATTTATATATAAAAAATATATAATAAAGTTAATTTATTATAAAATATAATTATAATAATATATATAGAGGATGGGATGAGAACCCGAAATCCAGATGAAGACGGAGACTTAATTTCTAATCACGACAGAGATCCAAATAGAAAAGGGATAATTAAAAAAGTCGGAAGTATAGATTGGAGGGACAAAACCTACCCCTGCCCCGTTGCCATATTCATACTTATAAAATGTTTCATGTTTCAAAATTTCACTTCTAACTATCCGTAAAGCAAGTAAAATCTGATCAAAATTGATATTATCAAAGATCAACCCTAAACTATTCCTAAATTATCGTAATATATTATTTATACATGTTTTGTAATTACTTTAGAATGTTTCTACATGTTTTATAATTATTTAAACGTAATTTATTACTTCTCACGTAATTAACATTATAAAAAATGTGGTATTTTCTTACAAAATAAGTGTTCTCGAAGAACATGTATCCTCTATTCATAAATTGTTTCAGAATCCTATTCAACAACACATTCAAAATACTCTTAAACAACATTAAATACAAATTCCAAAATATCATAACCGAATGTCATTGTATCGAGAATCTGAAAACTATCTCCATGTTTCATCTCGTTGATTTCATTCACTCCATCCTCGGAAGAACGTCAACTATTGGATAATTGTGGTTTTATGAAGGACTACTATGTAACATTAGCCCACAATAGCACATTTATTGGAATTTAACCAGTTCGGCATCAGCAACTTACCACAAGAAACAATATGGAAAAACTGCGAAGTATTAATTCCATCTCAAAACAAACAAAGGGGGTCTACAAAAGAGTGATCCACTCCTTCCTATCCATTTGAAATGTCTTCTGTCATAAAAGTGCATCAATTAATAATTATTCATCAGTACTGGTTCTTTTCTTTGTTGTGTAAGCAGCATACTCCTTCCCATCGTCGTGTTTTATTCTCTGGTCACCGAAATCAAGATATGCAGATGTGAATGCCAATGCTGATCCAGCAGAAAGTGCAGTTTTGATGCTCCTACCTACAATCGAATGCACCAAACATAAAACTTGATACAAAAACAGCAGATCTAGGGTGACTTATTTAGATTATAAAGTAGGTAATCCTGGTTTTGTAATTAACATCAGATTCAGAAAGGCAACATAAAACATTTCTTAAGAGAGTTATCAAGGAAGGCTGAACTTTTAAAGAAAAATCTCATGATAAACCATATTGAAGTTAGACAATTGTAGCTGACAAAAAGGATGTATACAAAAGGATGTACTTAAGATTAATAGAGAAAAAATATATCTTCAGGATTATGGGATGCTTCTCCCTTTCTTTTATTTATAATGGAAATCTGATACAATGAGACATAAAAGACTAAGAGACTGCAACTAGGACTCTAGGTGCATATCTAGATTCAGATGTAGGAGGTTTTCCACACTCAACACCCTATACTTAGGTCTAATGATAATATTAGGAAGTAATGACTCTAACACTCCCCCTCAAGCTAGAGCATACAAATTGTATGAACCAAGCTTGGAGCAAATGAACTCAATCCAAGGTCCCCTAAATGACTTGGTCAACACATTTGCAAGTTGGTCATTTGACCCAACCAACTCAGTACAAATTTTCTTGGACATTAATTTTTCCCGAACAAAATGGCAGTCGATTTCTATGTGTTTAGTCCTCTCATGAAACACCGGATTTGATGCAATATGGAAAGCAACTTGGTTGTCACAGTACATCTTCATGGTCTGGATTTCACAGAAATTAAGCTCCTGAAGAAATTGCTTTACCCATATGAGTTCACAAGTGAGAAACGTCATTGCCCGATATTCAACTTCAACGGATGATCGGGCCACTACATTTTGCTTCTTATTTTTCCATGAGATAACATTTCCTCCAAGGAAGACACAATATCATGTAGTAGAGCGTCTGTCAATAGAGGAGTTTGCCCAATCAGCATCACAATACCCATAGACTTCAACATTTCCTTTATCTTCATATAATAAACCCTGTCCAGGAGCCTTCTTGAGGTACCTTAAAATACGGATGATGGCATTCCAATGTCCAAGATATGGAGTCTGCATAAACTGACTAACCATTCCAACTGCAAAATATAGATCAGGTCTCATAATAGTAAGATAAATTAGCTTTCCAACAAGCCTCCTATATCTCTTTGGATCAGAGAATAATTCACCTTCTTCTATCGTTAGCTTGTGATTTGGGTTCATAGGACTTTCTACTAGTCTACAGTCAATCATGTCTATTTCTTTTAATATATCAAGAGCATATTTCCTTTGAGAGATTACAACTCCATCTTTTAACTGAGCTACTTCAATGCCCAAAGAAGTATTTGGGGCTTCCAAGATCCTTGGTTTGAAAATGTCTACACAAGTACTCCTTTAGTTGAGATATTCCAGTAGTGTCATTTCCTGTAATGACTATATCATCAACACATATTATTAGGTAAACACATTTCCTGAGAGATGTATGATAGTAAAAGACAGAATGGTCTCCTTCACTACGTCTTAGCCCAAATTCTTGAACAATGGAGCTGAATTTTCCAAACCAAGCACGTGGTTATTGCTTGAGGCCATATAGAGAACAATGCAATTTGCATACCATAACAGACTCCCCTGAGCAACGAACCCAGGAGGTTGCTCCATGTAAGCATCTTCCTCAAGATCACCATGGAGGAAGGCATTTTTTATATCTAATTGATGAAGTGGCCAGTGACGAATGACTACCATTGCAAAGAAGAGACGAATAATAGTCATCTTGGCCACCGGAGAGAAAGTGTCACAATAATCAAGACCATAAACCTAAGTGTATCCTTTTGCAACCAATTGAGTTTTGAATCGATCAACTTGACCATCAGGGCCAACTTTAACTGCATACACCCATCGGCAACCAACAACCTTCTTACTTGGTGGGAGAGGCACGAGCTTCCAAGTATGACTGTGTTCAAGAGCTTACATCTCTGCAATCATGGTTTGTCGCAATTCAGGATGATCAAGTGCTTCATTCACATTTTTTGGAATAACAACTGAAGATACTGAAGATAAAAGGGAACAATAGGAAGGCGATAATTTGTGATAGCTAAGAAAATTATAAATGGGATGTGGGTTTCGAGTGGAACGAGTACCCTTTTTTAAAGTAATGGGCCAGCCTGAATCACCTTCACCAGGAGTCGTGGTATCAAGGGACAAGGGGGAAGCATCTGAGGCCCTGCTGTATGACATGAACATCTTGAATAGATGGAGAGAAGGGGTCTGTTAAAAGAACGTGACATTGACAGACACGTAATATTTCCCGTCTTCAGAACATGTTAAGGTTCTAATATAAAACCAATTGACAATATGTAAAGTAGCCTAACATGTATTTAAACCATACCAAATGACATGAAGTAGACGATGTGAGACTTCCAACACGCCCCCTCTAACAAGGTTTGTCGGACCAGGCAAATGGTACTTTTGACCCAATGAAAGGACAACTTTTGGCCCAAGACAATAACCGAAAAGATTGTAGGCTGATTCTGATACCAACTTAAGATTAATAGAGAAAAAATATATCTTCAGGACTTATGGGACCCTTCTCCCTTTCTTCTATTTATAATGGAAATTTGATACAATGAGACATAAAAGACTAAGAGACTGCAACTAGGACTCTAGGTGCAGATCTAGATACAGATGTAATGTAGGAGGTTTTCCACACTCAACACCTTATACTTAGGTCTAATGATAATACTAGGAAATAATGATTCTAACATATGCAAAGCATGGGCTATTCCATGTACAAATTATCAAAATCGTCAAGCGGAATCAACTTATAATGAGCTGTATAGGCAGGCAAATGGAGAGACTCAAAAGAAGTTTGCAGTATAAGCCAATAGTGATATGACAAGGAACTAAAATATTTAGAGTATGCTTGTGCGTTGGGATGGAAAGTTTTGAAGTGAAAGGAAATGGAGGATAAATCATTTATTACAAGTAAATATTTTCTAATATAAGTTTTTAGATTGAAATACATGAAATAGTAGATTCTCACAAAACCTTCCAATCAGTCTTTATCTGACTTTATACACTACAAACTTCATTAATTCCAAAATTCCACCATCCATTCCCCTTCACAACAGAAACCCTCACAATAATGGAACAAATAATCAAACTCAAGTAATAAATAAGTCAGAACTTGAAGTAAAGGATTTCCACATAAACATTAAGACTAATAACAGACATTTCAACATTATATACTTTGTAGATTGCAACAGCGAGTAAAAGGAACAGTGACCATAAAAATATTAGTTACATTATATAATTATTAATAACTCCATACAAAGTCAGTAGCCAAGAAGAACAGGCATATGTTTAACTAAATAATAAATGTGAGTGAAATCCAATGCATAAACTTCTTACACAAAATGGTGCTGGCTTTACACCAATGACCAAGGTAGAAATTATTAATTATAAATTGGAGGATCACAGATCGTAATATCTTATACAATTTATGAAATTCATGTATATGCCAAATATTAAAATATTCATAAGAAAAAGAATAATATAATATGCAAAAACAAAAGGAGAGTAAAAGTCCCAGTTTTACAGAAGGTGAAAAGTCCCCTTTTTTTTAAATTGCAAGTGAGAAGATATTAAGACTTTTAAGAATAGCACATATTGGACTTAAAAAAAAAATGGTTATTGTGCTTTGAAGAGGTGTGTGAGAAATGTTTAGGATACATAAAAAAAAAATTAGGTCAGAAATATGTTGCTTGCGTACAGTTCTCACAGTCACCCGTCACAGCTGCCGCACCAGTGGAAAGCAGCCGCTGCACCTGTGTGGCACAGCCCCCCTACCCACGTGGTGCACTGCACCCGGGCAATGCAACTGCCATACTCATGTGATGCCGTCACAGGGCACACAATGCTGCACCCACACAGACAAAGACGTCGCACCCACATAAGTCTCAATTTTGAACGATGATTCCATGCTATCCCTAAAAATCGCAGTGACATGACACAAGGAATCGAAGATGGGAAAGATGATCGTAGACTCATTCGATCTTTACATTTTGAATTGCCATTTTGGCTACCATGCCAATGACTGAAGAAACCATTAGCAGAGTATACAAGAAGATAGCTAAACAAAGAAGCAGCAAACATTCTAGGGGAAAAGCATCCATGAATGCATACTAGTAATATAAATAAAAATAAAATAAGTTTCTCCATAAGTTAAAATTAACTTATGCACAAGTTAAAAAATAAAAACAGAGAAAAAACATGTGGAAGCTTTAACAAATTCATTTTGCATGTGCTAATTTTAACTTTTGGAGAAGCTCTTTTTTTTTCCTAGAAGTTCTTAGGGATAAATTTATACAAACATAACAGGAAAATAATTTAAACACCAAAATTATCATTGTTCAACATTAGTATACAACAACCTATGAAGAACGGAGGCAGCTCAGCATAGGTGCTTCCGTGTGTTAGAACTGGACCCGATAGGCACATGCCATCGAAGTGGTGTCAGACATTGCCCAGTCACCAAACATGCCAACGACAACATAGGTACCAGACACACCAATGACAGCACAATCCAATCTCCGACTGAACACGACCCCTTATTTGAATTATGTTAAAATAAAAAAATTAAATCACGTTAAAAAAGAAAGAAAAGAGAAAACTGTTCTCTTTTCCCTCACCTTTACAAGAAACCAGAACATTCTAAGAATGAATCAAGAAATGTGGAGTAGTATGGAACAAAAGAGATGAAAGGCATAGGAGAGCTAAGGCTCTCCTACTATCAATTGCAGCATAAAAGCAACGCAATTGTGTTACGAGCAACACACCATTCCTTGCTGGCGAAATGCGAGCAATTCCCCACAACCAAATAGTGCTCGTGTCCCCTTTTCTCTCCACTCTTATAACCAACTTCTTCCTTCTCTCTCTACTACTACTCCAATTAAATTATTTTATTCTACTTTTCCATAATTCACTTTTCACTACTTCATAGTATTACCATTTATCTTTTACTATTTTTATGTGTTATGTTTTTTATTTTAATACCACAAATTGATGTTAAATGCTGGAATGTGATTTTGTTTGTTCACATTATGATATCAATATATAACATTTTTGCCATTTTCATTATATATTTAGACATTTTTCCATTTCTAACATGGTATCCTAATGAGATATGTTGGCCTATCACTCGATCTATTATTGGGCCACTATCAAACCACCATCAATATTCAGTTCTAGGATCTTGAGATATTCATTCCTCAACGTAAAGGTGCATGTCGGAGATTTCCCATCGACTAGTGATATGATCAAATTATAATATATAATGAGGTTCAAACCCCATCTTATATACCAATTTTGTAAGATTGAGTTAAGCACCTCTTTATTTCTAACATGTTATCAAAGCCATAATTTTAACGATATTAGCACTATTGTACCATCCGTTAACGATTGTTGGAATGAACCATTTGTTATATTTGTTATTTGGTCACCCGTACCTCAATGTGATGAGGTATGTTGAAATTCCACATTGAATAGAAATACAATTAAATTATAGTATATAGGTGGAGATAGTTGTTGGAATGAATCACCCTTATCATACCGTTATTAGGCCACCTGTATCCTCGATGTGAGACGTTATGTTGCAATCTCATATCGACTAGAAATACAATTAAATTATAATATATAAGTGAGATGCAAACCTCACCTTACATGTTAGGTTTGTGTTAGGCATCTCTCTATTTCTAACATATATATATATATATATGCCATGTTCGTGCCTAAATCTATGCAATATAAACAACAACAACAATCAAGCCTTTTTCCCACAAGGTGGGATTGGCTACACTTCGTAGATCACATGATGCCAAAATGTTCAATCATAAGTTATATCCATAGACATTATTTACCATCGAGTCCTTAATTGATTCACTACTAGATTATCCTCCATGATCAACTCTCCTTATAGGGGCTTCAATACCATCTAAGTAAACATTCTATCATCTTTTCTACAATAGGTGCAACCCGAACCTTTGATTTGATGCATTCATTCCAAATTTTATCTTGTATGGAATGTTCACTAATCTAGTGCTACATGTTCAACTTTACTACATTGAGTTTATCAATTTGTTGGTTTTGTCCTGCCCTTTAAGTTCCTAGTATCACATGGGGGTACAATGAAAAGTGAGCATCAACAAAATATAACATGGGTTATAACTTATAATCTCCTAGTTCCAGCAGAAATCCATTCTGTGCCCAGAGAAAACATCATGCGAACACCAACCAATGAATAATAAACAACTCAATGAAAGCAATCAAGAAAAAGAAAATATAACTTGTAGCTTCTATTTTGGGACAAAAAACCACCTAATATAAGAATCCTAGGCACAGTGAAAAGCACAAAGTAATAAATGAAGAAGCTTTCCATGATAGAAAAAAAATGACACTAGATCAACGAAAGGGTTATTGAAGAAAGCGTTGGTCACAGCTATCCCTCCCATACACTTAGAAGCAGACATAAAACCACAGTAGGATTATTTCCCAATAGCCAAAGTAGATCAAATGATAGATTGGCTTCCTTGCCGGGTATCAAAAGTGCCAAAAGCCATCTAGCTCAATGACAGAATCATGTCAAAAAGAACTGAATCAAGTCATGGTCTATGTGATGCTTCTCCAAAATCAACAACAAATCAATGACTCAATAACAGTAGAAACATTAAGAACCCAAATATTAAATATGCAAATTCTCAAACATAAATATCTATTACAGAAAAGGGCTACCTTTATAACCCAGAATAGTTGCACCAGCAACAAATCCGCCAACAGCTCCATTGACTAGATCCCTCTTCATCCTATAGTGCTGCACCAACTGCTCTACACCTATGTAGACTCCTCCTATGGCAGCAAAGGTCAAACCATAGTTGCCCATCATCTTGAAAGTCCTAAGCAGCCCTGGAAGGGCAACATTTCTCTCAACACGAGGAACATCATACCAGGTGGCAACCACAGTACCCCAGATAGTGCCAGCAACTAAACCCGTCGTTGCACCCTTAATAGTTTTCATGAGTGGTGTATCCTCATCCTCCAAGTACCTAAGTTCTGTTGCGTCCACCATGATTTTCTCTAGACACTACAAAAAAATTAACACTACTCATTAATCATGTCCCGAAAAATAAAATATATATCATAATGACAGAACAGGAAAGCCATTTTTAATCATGTACATTATCATGTATACTCATTAACCAATTACCACTAAACAGAACAGGAAAGGCAGTTTTAATCTCTCCTAAAAATAACATTTTGATTGAAACCTAATCTAAATAAATGACATTAGGTTTCCAAATATCATAATGCTTTCAGAATACACACACAGCATATATGTCACTGAACATTTTTCATTTATAAGAAAACAGAATGACTGGAAACAGTGGTGGAATCAACAACAAGTACAAATACGTCGAACCAATTCTACGGTAAGAACTGGTAATAACCGATCCAAAAATAAATGGATTCCAAACCGGAAAATAACATTGGAAACATCGGAAAAAGAGAACGACACATAGAATATTAATAATCATAACAAACGAGTATGAAGAATCACACAGACATTCAGATCGAGGACCTGCGCTACTCGAGAAAGGAAATCAGATGCAAACCCTAAAAAGATGTGTGAAGAAGGTATGAATGGTTAGAGAAAATAAATTCAGGCAGAAATGCAATGTCGATGAAGAGAAAAAGGAAGGGTCATCGGTGAGAAGATAAACAGGTACCTATGAGAAATCGAGAAGAGAAGATGGGTACTTGTCACTGTAAACTGTGAACACCCTCGACTCAGCGATGCGACTTAGTTACTTGAAATTTTTTTTTTTTTTATCATATTCTCAATTTCTTTTTTATATTTACTTTATTTTTTTACACCACTTTATTTTTTAAATATAATTACATTGAATGTCTAAATAAAAGTTTGTTTGGTCACAAAGGCACAGTCTTGCAATAAAAAAACCAATTATAATAAAAATGGAAACTCAACATGACTTCTTCTCATAAATAATATCATTTTAAAAAATATTTCTCAAAATAGTATTTGTAATATTATTTACTCATTTAGTATAATTTATTGTTCACGTTTTAAAATAATCGATTATTTTAGATTATGATCGATTATTTCGTGCAAGATCAATTATCGCTCAAGCGAGAAATTCATTGTTTGAATAATGAAACCTGCAACTAATGAGTATTGTCGAGTTGTATTTTACTCAAATGTTGAAATTCTCGCTTGAGCGAGAAATGATTTAAATATGTGGTGACCCAAGTTATATTATGTAGCTAACTTCGTTGGACCTTTAGTCCGTGGTTAACTTTCGCTCAATGAGAAATCCATTTATAATCGGGACCCATATATATATATATATATATATATATATATATATAATTTATATAATATATATAATTTATTTAACATTAAAAATAGTTATATTTTTATTAGTTTTATAATTATAATTTTTTTAAGGTTATAATTCTAAATATAATTTTTTTAAACTTTATAATTATAATTTATATAATATATATAATTTATAAATAGTTATTTTTTTAATTTTAATTTTATATATATATTTTGTAATTATTTAATGTATATTTAAAGTAATTTATTTATATGTTTATATATAATACTTTATAATTTTATTTCTATAAATAAAAAATAATTACTCTAAATTAATCAAGTAAAGAAGAAATTTTATTAATTGAAAACCTCCTAAGTTTCACACATTAGGATATTTCTTAACTAACACAATCTAATTTTGCGAAGTAGATGCACGTGCAACATTGGGTCATGTTTTTCTGCTATGACCAAGGGTATGACAATATGAACATTTTTCCATCCTACTTTGATTTTCTGTAATATCTATCTCAGTTCTTATACGGCTTGATTTTGGTCGGCCCTTTTAAGTTCTTTTCATTTCTGGATTTGCACACAAAGTAGGTCCTGCGTATGTTGGTCAATATTGTTCATTTCGCAGCAACTCAAATTGTGTTTTGTATACCTTTGAAACTTGTTGTAAGGTATACACTGGATGAATGTAGTTGTTGAAGTCATGGTGTGCATGCTTGCATGCAGCAAGAACATGTGAACAAAGCATGTGAAATTTCCCACAGTCACACCACAACTTATCAAGGTGAACTGCAAACCTCCCTACTGATCAAACTTGACGCGGGTTTTGTGTTTCTTCTACTACAAATTTTGTGGTAGATCTATCAAAAGTTATGACCCTATGCGTGTTCGTCTGTGTTTATGTTTCTTCTAAATTTGTGACCAAAATTTCAGAGTATACATGACCAGCATTGATCATGACATTTATCTGTCTCCTTCTTTCAATGAAAAATTTGTTGTAGTGGGTGTACGCTGCGTTGACCATGGAGCAAATGGGGTAGATTTCTTGTTTTTTTCAAAATAAAGTTGATAGACTCTGCTATGTTAGTCGTCATGTGGCCTCAATGTCGTTCATTGTTCCATGCAAGTGCCCATTTTTTTCTAGGTATCTCATCCAACCAATTAACTATTTTTATGTCACATTACCTCAAGATGTTGTAATAATAGTAGAATTTTGGTTCAGTCATCTCATATGTTACAACAATATTAAAGAAACATAGTTAATATAAATATTTATTAGCAATAGTTAAATAATGAATAAATTGTAACAAATTTGAAACAAATGAATTACCCATATTTACAACATCTTTCCTTAGTGCAGTGTTTTTGAAATGTCTCATAAAATTCTGTGCAATGTGTCTAATGCAGTAGACATGCACTGAATTATTTTTTGTCCATCCACTTCCATTTCTCATGTATACACTTCTAATGGATTCATGTCGGTCTGATATGAGGCATAATCCTTGCTGGGGTGTGACATATCTTTGGAGGTTTTTTAAGAAAAAAAATTAGGCATCACTTGTTTCACCTTCGACCACTGCAAACGCAATGGGGAGGATGTTGTTGCAGTCATCTTGTGTTATTGCAACCAACAAGGTACCTCTATACTTTCCGTACAAAAAAGTTTCGTCCACTTGAACAATGGGCTTGCAGTGAACAAATCCATCTATGCATGGCCTAAACGCCCAAAACACACGCTTAAAAATATTTAAATTTTGTTGAAGGATCTCACCTTAGTAAGCTGGTTGTGACTACAATTTGTAAATGAATCCGGGAACAAATTGTTGCATGGCTTGTAAGAAACAAGGCAACTTCTTATACGAATCCTCCCAATTGCCGTAGATAGTCTCCACTGCCTTTTGTCTGGCCAGCCAGACCTTCCTGTACGTTATAGTGTAACCCGTTGTTAATTGGATGTGGGCTATGATTGTGAAGATTGGTGTTGACAAATGAACATCAATTATTTGACCAATTATTTGGGAAATAATTTTATATCCCAACTTGTTGTGGTCTTGGCTGATTAATGGCGAAACGCATGTATGGTGCCCTTCAAGTTTCATAATCTCCCAATATTGCTCTCTTGTACGCAAATTGCTCAACATCTCCAATTGTATTGGTTATCAATACATTCAACAACATATCTACTTTGGTTTGAAATTTCACCTTGTATGTGTAGTGATTGACAATGTGAAAGCGGTTGATGACATCTTGAACTTGTACTTTTGTTATGAAACGTTGTCTAAGAAATAGAGTTCATGTCGGATAAACAAAAGACTTTTTGTCCAACACATGATCATACTCTGGGTCTTGTTATTGAATGTGACTTTCAAAGTTAAGAAAATATTGTGGTGGGTTGTATGGTTCCATGAAGTTTGGTGCATGTGTAGGGATATGTGGTTGTTCATCCCCTGAATCATCTTGTTGTTGGCTGAGAATTTCATCTTTGTCTTTGTCCTCACTAAAAGGATCAACGACTTCAATTGGGAGGCCAACAATTTTGTTCTCTTGTGTGGGTAGTTCTTCATTGATGTTGGTGGAAGACCCAATTAGAAGTTTGGTAAAAGGGATGTAGTCATTATGTGTGGGTATTTCTAGGTCAGTGTTTGGGAAAACTTGGTAGGGTGAGGGTGAGATTTCAGGTGAGTGTGGGTTGGGGTATGAAGAAGAAGTTTCAAATGTAACAAAAATTTTAATACCACATAGACTTGAGTTTGAGTCATGAACATCGAACATGGTCTTCACGTCGTCATCATCTTTCAACTCAACATCAATGAAGTTGTTGATCCCAACTTCGAGTCTAGTTGGGTAGCGAAAATGGATGGTTACTACATTTTTGTGGGGTTCTTTCTCTAATTTCTTGTGGATCAACTTCTTCAACCTTTATAGAGAATTCCTCTCTTCAAAGGAACAAGTTTTGTAGTCCCAGTATTGAAGGTAACTCCCTCCATGGGACATGGGTTCATGGAATCATCATAGTGGATAATAGTAGACATTACACCCATTTTAGAAGTGTGGAACAAAAAGAAGACTAAAGGTAAAAAGAAGAAAAAATGCAAAGAGCTTCAGAGATTTAGGAGTGTGCAATGTGAGAACTTCAAAGAATGAATGTGGTCTATTTATAATAAAGTCCAATGGTTTGAATTCAATGCTCCCTCATAACATCTCTTTAAATGTGCTTGGATTCTTCTGCTTTTGTTTAACCCAATGCAGGGATTCCAAGATTGGAATCCTGACTTGGGTGGGTGACTCAGCATTGGATTCCTGACTTGTGTGCATCAGAAAGGCATGTGAATCCTGACTTAGGTGAGTGACTCAACATTGTATTCCTGACTTGTGTGCGTTAGAAATTATATTGGGAGGTGTTGTTTTGGAAAAATAAAAAAAAAATTAATTATGTAAAAAAGTCGCAAAATAATATATAATAATTTAAAATAATCAATTATTTTCAAATTATAATCGATTAATTTAGCTTATAATCGATTATAAATAGTTGCATGTCTCCTCGCTCAAGCGATGGATTGCTTGCTTGAGCAAGAGTTGACTACAGACTAAAGGTCCAACGCAATTAGTCACATAATGTAACTTAGGTCATCACATATTCCAATCACTTATCGTTCGAATGAGAATTTCATTGCTTGAGTGAAATAGAACTCGACAATACTCATTAGTTGCAGGTCTCCTCG